ATCTGATACTTGTCATCAATTTGTATTGTAAAAGACTATAACTTTTTAGTATCCATATTTGGTTTTTGTTTCTCAACAGTTGCTTTCGTTTTGTTAGTCTTATACTCGAAATGCATACAATGATCGTTGTGATTTTAAGCAAACAAAAATTATAGCACACTTCGGAATTAACTCAAACTTATTAAAGCTTCAGTCCATATACGGAGTTTTTCTAATACGTCAGTCAGTCAGTCAGCTACAACGTAGGACCAGGCACATATGTGCATCGGTCCAGGTTGCCATACCGCATCAGCACAACAAGATGAACACCGGATTCATAGCAGTGGTTATGTCAAAGGTGGTAATATATAGAGAAAGATTGCATATAGAGATATAGTACAAGAAGAAAAAATTGGTTCGTAGAAAGAAAGATATGAAGCGATTTTAATCTCTTAGTTTAAGGGAAGACAGGGAGTGTATACACCGACGCCATTGTGATCGATTCTGAGCCATGTCACCAAAAGTCTCCAACCATTGGTTACGATAGTCACGCGGACCCCAACCAAGTAGTCTGCATCTACCAACATGGCTCAGACTAGAAGTTAGTGACTTCAAGCACTGATGCCACGTTTTGGTTTGGCCGCCCCTAACTTTCTTCCAACCATCCCCAACACCGGTTAGCATTGCACGTCGTGGTAATCGGTGTTCAGGCATACGTAACACGTGGCCCAACCATCTCAGTCGATGAAGATTCACAACCTCATCAACTGATTTACCATCATTCCCTAATACCCTGCGTCTAACCTCACTATTACTTACCCGGTGATCCCAGCAGACGCCAGCAATATTTCTAAGGCATCTGTGGTCAAATACTAGTAGCTTACGAGTGTCTTCTACTCTTAATGGCCATGTTTCGCTGCCGTAAATTAAAACAGAACGGACTGCCGCGCAGTATACTCGTCCTTTTATTGATAGACGGATATCTCGCCTTCGCCATAGGTGACGTAAGTTGGCAAAAGCCAAACGAGCTTTTCGAATCCGTGCTGAGATTTCGTCAGACACCAACCCATTAGGGCTGATCAGACTTCCAAGATAAGTGAAGTTGTCAACGCGTTCGACTACTTCACTCCCTATCCTTAGTTCAGGTGTTGACGCAGACCAGTCCTGAAGCAACAACTTGCATTTAGAGGGAGAGAAGCGCATTCCAAACATTCTGGCATTGTTGCTTAGTGCTACCAAAAGACTCTGCATTTTGTCAGCGTCTTCACCAAACAGGACTATGTCATCTGCGTATTCTAAGTCGATAAGTGGACCTCCTGGAAGGAGATCAATACCCGAGAATTCAGTCGACGAGAATGTTATTTCCATCAATAGGTCTATGATGAAGTTAAACAAAAATGGAGAAAGTGGACAGCCTTGACGGACACCACTTGAGGTTGCAAAAGTAGATGACAGTTCGCCATAAGCTCTGACTCGACTAGTAGTGTTCGAGTAAAGAGCCTTCACAAGGTTTATGTACTTCTGAGGTACGCCTTTCAATGACAGACACTGCCACAGAATCTCGCGGTCTACCGAGTCAAATGCTGCTTTTAAGTCAAGAAAGACCACCATTGTCGGACGCCGATAAGTATGCCTGTGTTCTAGAACCTGACGAATGGTGAATATGTGGTCGATGCAGCCACGACCAGGTCTGAAGCCAGCTTGGTTCTCTCGTGTTTGCAGTTCACGAGTCTTAGTTAGGCGTCTGATAATTATCGAGGCTAGTATTTTAGATACTATATTAGTTAAACTAATCCCTCTGTGGTTGTCACAGGATGATTTTGACCCTTTCTTATATATTGGGACGATAAGTGATTGCGACCAGTCAGATGGGATAACGTCTAACTCCCAGATCTTAGCTAAAATATTAGTCAACCTAATCGCTAAAATTGGACCACCATCCTTAAAGACTTCTGGAGCCAATCCATCTGGACCAGCTGCCCTTCCTCGTTTCAGATTAACTATAGCCTTTTGAACTTCAGCAAGAGTTGGGGGACCTACTTCAATGTTCCATTCACACTGTCTGGGAATGGAGGGTAGTTGTAGAGTAGCTGAAGGCCAGCTGAACTGTTCTCTAAAATGTTCCGCCCATCGTTCTAAACGTCTGGACTGGGAGCAGATGAGAGTATCGTCTTTTTCCGAAATAATCTCACTTACACTTGACTTATTAATTCCAGTTTCTTTTATTAGTCTGTAAAGCTGTCTTGTGTTCCCTATAGTCGCCGCCTTTTCCATCTCTTTTGCTTTCGTTGCCCACCACTGCTCACGGTCGTTCCTTAGACTTTTTCTTAACCTAGATCTGATTTGTTGTCGCTCTTCATCATGTTCAGAACCTGATGGGACGAGTTTGCGAGAATCCATCAGTGCAATAGACCTTGAAGAAATCCACTGGTTCTTTGTAACTCTGTGGTTTAAGTCACTAATAGATGTCACTGCTGTTTCCACAGCTGTTTGTATGCTTTCCAAGCAACATCTGGGTCAGCCTCGTTTTCAGAACTACCTAAGTGTGACCTCAGTTGTTCCTGGAACCTACTTTTGGTTTTCTCGTTACTCAACTCAGTTCTAATGGGTCTTTTTAATGTGGCTTTTTTGCGTCCAGTGAGGCGCAAGCAGATGCGTGCCCGTATTAGGGCATGGTCGGAGTCCAAGCAGGTACTCCAGAATGAGCGACAATCTTCTACCGACCCTCTCCAACGATGACTGATGGCAATATGGTCTATTTGAGTCCATCGTTGGTTTGGTGTAGGGGGTCGCCATGTTAGACGATGTCTCTCCTTATGCTTAAAATTTGTGTTTGCTAAAAATAAACGATTGTCTGAGCACAGTTGCAGCAGACGATCACCATTATCTGTTCGCTGTGCCGGAATACTAAAATATCCACCTAAATGCCTTTCTGTTTGGTTTAAACTACCTATCTGAGCATTAAAGTCACCTGCTACGAGTACTATGTCTGAGCGTTTAGCTTTCTGAAGAAGTTCAGAGAGCTTTCTGTAAAATTCATCTGAGCTGCAGTCAGTGGGAGCGTAGGCAGAAACGACAAAAAGGCAACGACGTGTGTCCCTATCCTTCCGAGTTCTTACGGAGCCGTTTAGCCGAACAGCACATAGACGACTGTTGACGGGGATCCACTCTAGCAGTGCTTGTTCCGCCCTCATGCTTAGTGCTATGCCTACACCTGCCAGTCCACGAGAACTGGCCATCGGGTCACCAGATACACGGAGGGTGTATCTCGTTGGCTCTCCGTTTGCCGAGGTGAGGTCAAGTGAATGACCACACTGGAATCCTGTATGCGTGTTTCGGAGACACAGCATACATCAATGGAAAGAGACTCTAGGGTTTTAGCCAAGGAAGCCTGCTGACCGATTTGACATAGGGTGCGTACGTTGAAGGCTCCAATGTGTAGTTTGGAGCGAGGTTTCAGTAGACCTGGGACAGTGTTTTGCGCACTAGAATCGTTGGCTATGGTGACACTTGAGGAGGAAGCCGAAGAGGAAGTTTAGAGTTGAAAGTCGATGTAGGAGGAATAATAGGAATTGAAGAGGAGGTTGATTATGAATACAGTGGTCTTGAGTGCTGTTAGAGGTATGAGGGCGGTTATCACTTCCCGGTTGCCCACACCGTGGAAGGGTTCTTCTGGAGGTACCTGAAAAGGAAATTGGATTAGAGGTGGTCTTAGTGACCTGAGAGCGTGACCGCAGTGCCCAAGGGACAACTGCTTGAGGTCGGTCACACACGACCTTTTAATGGGTAATTTTTGTGTTAGCTCCGTACTTGTTGAGACCTTACCGCCGGAGACGGATATCCGTGGGATAAGGCGAGGTGTGCATTTTTAGGGTCGACCTTTTCTAACCCCACCCCTCCTTGTGGGAAGGCAGCATCGCTGTCATGCTGGTTGTCTGAAGGAAACACCTTACTGCTGTCACACCTCTGTACAGTCAGCAGTACGACTTCGCCTTCGGACCTTGGGTTTGTTGCTTTTAGTCTTACCGCTCTTCAACCGACCTGTCTGACATGGTAGGACCTTGAGGAACGGTTGTTCCAGCCAGTATAGCTCGGTTGCTTCATCACGATAGGCAAGCCCGACTACCACTTCAAGGTAGCAACAACATCGGGTTTAATACGTCAGACTTATAGTACAATATACTTCTCCATGTCTATTTAGTATCTTTGCAAATCTATGTTATACTTAAACTTAATTTATACTCAGTAGTTTAACATTAACTCTTATTTTAGCAAACTTTGAATGTAGTCCTAATCCTTTTGTAAATTCAACTACAAATTTGTAAATCATAGTGATTTTCTATCTGATAATGATAAAATCCACTAGATATGTTGTGTAACCATTTTAGTATTTGTGATTGTTCACTTTCTGGTGTCCACATTAACTATAAAATGCTTTAAGTGTGAATAATCCTCAGTGAATGCATTGTTCTATGATTCCAAATGGTTTGTTGAAAAAAAGATCGAAGCCTAAATATGTGTAGATATAAGTACTAATGAAGATCGTTTGCTGATTACACATAATTTCAGTACTAAATAAGTATTTTGTGTTTTACTGCAAATATTTATTCATATTTGCCCATATGGAAGCATTTTTATGTTTTTGTTATTCTCTCACGTTAAATAATACTCTTTCCATGTTATCAACCTATTATCCCTGTGTATCCACTTCATCTCTCAGACTACTATTCTCCTTCATACTCTGTTATAATAGTTACTCTTAAAATCTTATGACCACGATCACCATCAATATCAGTTATATTATTTATTTATTTAAACACATAAATATTAGTACAAGGAGGCACCAAATAAATATACGCCTCATAAATCGCTCGATTTATGACGACTTATGAGGGTATTCTTAAAAATTACTAAGGCTAACTCATAAAGCCTCTCATATTTGTTTCGAATAGCTTAACTATTACTCAGTACTGTCAAACATTTCATTATGGCTCTGAAAAAGCGAAATCATACTTTTTTAGCGTTTGACATCTGGGTTTTCTGGCTGTTCTGCTCAGTCCATTGCTACTCGATGGATTGAAAGGAGTTTCGAACTAAATAATTTGACTTTAACGGATTATCAACGACGTGTTCAAGAAATTCGACGTTCAGTTCGTCAAGGTATCGATTCAGCAGCAACATGTACAGATGGTGAGTCTCTTTGGATATGTTGTACTAATATATTTATTTCTCGGCATTAATGACTGTTTCAGAAGTTTATTCACTTGTCATCTACTACTTTGTTTTAAAGCAAGTTTGTCACTGGAGGCTTTAAAACAAAATCACTTCTTTTTTCTTTCAAATGGCATATTTCTTTGCGGAGTAGACACGTATATGGCTATTCCAAAATACTCAAAATTTAGTTTGGTATGCGAGAAAATACTTAAGGTTAGATGCTGTTAACTATATTTATAAATTGTTTATTAAAACTGTCGTTGGCTTATGTTAAGTTTCTTAACATTTTTTACTCCATGATATCAGATTCTTAATCAAATTCTGAGTCAGTCACTAACAACGTAGAACTTCGTACGTACGTACATCATTTGGAGTTGCCACACCACATTAGCACAGAGATGCAGTTGTCGATTCAAATCCCGTAGTGGTAGAGGTGGTAAGAGTATAAGCAGTAATCGGGAAGATTAAGGTTTGGAGATGTTATTTAAAGAGTATAATCCAGTGAAATAAACTTGGAAAGAAAAAAAGGACATGACAAATTCAGAAAATTAGAATTTGGGAGAACACAGAGAGTGGATGCACCTGCGCCATTGCAAACGATTTTGAGCCATGTCATTCAGGGTCTCTAACCATCGGTTGCTATCATCTCGTGGTCCCCAACCAGGTAGTTTACACCTACCAACATGACTCAGTCCACTTGTCAGTGACTTCATGGACTTGTGCAATGTTTTGGTTTGGCCGCCTCTAGCTTTCTTCCAACCCTCTTCTTGCTGAGTCGGCTTTCCGAGAACTGCAACAGAGCCGAAGAGTCGTAGCCAATCAGAGCATGATGGAGCTTTCTAGAATGTCAACGTGGCGTGCTACTACTGGTCAGTAGCATAATATGTCTTTTAGCGGATTGGCTAAAATATGATGTTGATTTAACAAATGTTAGCATCTATAAATACCCGTGTTTTCTGTACAAAAACGAACCTTTGAGTAAAGTATTTTCCCGCATACTTTGCGTCTTCTCTCTTGTGTTCAGGGCGCTGTATAGTTCTAGCTTGAGGGTTACAGAATAGCTTAGGAAACGAATAGCGTTCAATTCGCAAGACTTATCAGTGGCGACGGGGAGGGGATTAAGTGAAGCTCCAGAGTCTCATCAGTATCCGTTACTCTTACCGGAAGATCTTTTCGCTAAGCTGAACGGTGGCAGATATTTTGCGAAATTGGACTTACCAGACGCGTATCTACAAATCCCGGTATCTGATGAAAGCAAAGATCTCCTGACGATCAACACACACAAAGGTCTGTTCCGGTATAACCGACTACCTTTTGGGGTGAAGACAGCACCCTTTATTTTCCAGCAAATTATGGATACCATGTTACAAGGCATTCCAGGGGCAGCAGCTTATTTAGACGACATCGTAATTATGGCAGCAGACAAAATGGGACCAGGTACTAGAACGCGTAGCCGATTATGGTTTTCGCCTCCGAGCGGAAAAGTGTGACTTCTATATGCAGCAAGTACGGTATCTTGGGTTCATAATAGATAAAGACGGAAGACGACCAGATCCAGCGAACATTGAAGTTGTGAGAACAATGCCTAGACCCAGGGACATTACTACCCTACGATCGTTCTTTGACAACGACCGAAAGGAACTATAGTCAAATTGAGAAAGAAGCCCTATCAATTATCTTTGCAGTGAAAAAGTTCCACAAGATGATATATGGTCGACATTCTACCCTAATAACAGACCATAAGCCACTACTTGCAGTTTTTGGGTCAAAGAAAGGGATTCCTGTTCACACAGCTAACCGACTCCTTCGATGGGCAACCACATATATGGGTTACGACTTCAAGACCAAGTATCAGTCTACTACCGCCTTCGGGCAAGCTGACGCATTGTCAAGAATAATAGGCTCCCAATCAGAAAACCCAGAGGAGACTCTTGTAGCAAATATAAAAGCCGAGGAAGAATTTCATCGCGTATTGGATGACGCAATCAGTGGACTCCCAGTAACGTTTGAAACTATCAAGAAGATCACTGAAAGTGATAAGATATTGGGCACAGTTAAATGCTATCTCTCGACCAAATGCATCCGACAAATTTTCCTCATTTTTGTAAGAAATTTGATCAAAAGCATGTGAGTCATTAGGATAAATCATATCTGGTAAAATAACTAGAGAACCCCAATAAGTATATTCATCAGAAACTTTTGTCGTAGAATGGTGAGCTCCATTTAATGCAACTGTCTTCATTATGATACTTGATTCATTTTCTGTTTCTTTGTGGGCTGGTACTGCAATAATTTCATGAGCATTTCATAAGACATCGTCTTTCTGTGAGCTGGACAATCCAGTGTTTGTACACGGTGTTTCGGGGACAATGGAATTTGAACCAACGACATGGCATGTCTCTGAAATGGACATTTCTGGATCACTGGGCGCATCATGAATGACTGCTACTAATTCGTTCACATTACCGCTTCTCAAGGATTCACGGAGGGTTTCATCTACACGTTCATACGTTCTCAGTCATTTTCCAGCCCTGTATGCAAATTAGAAATTAATTTATCAACTTCTGTCACATCTCCAAAACATGGATGATTTAGCAGCCGTGTGCGTAAATTGTCTAAAACATTCAACTGGCTCTTTTTGAAACGCTGCTGTTGTCGCTCAAATAGCAACTGTAATTGATCGGAAGCGATAGCCATTTTCTGAATCAGTACGGTAATGAAAAATACTGTATGACTAATTAACAGTCAATGTCGTTGAAGGAAACCGGCGAGAATTTCGTATGCTGATTGCTCGAAATAATTACACTGAATTTTTTCCAATTACAGGCTGACCTTGACTCGTTAATTTGAAGATTGAAGGTTCAGATTTTTTTAACTCCGTCGCTAATTGTTATAGTTCGTCGTTTGAATGCTTATTGTCTTGGCTCTTTTAATGCTACTTTTTGTATCTGGTCGTCGCTGATTGTTATCTCGGAAACGCTTATCACTTATACTCGGAAGGATGGACCTCTGCAATTCCCACGACGCGAAAGTAAGAACACAAAGACTGGTATAAGTGAAGATTTATTAACTCCCAAAACACCACGACGACGACTCTAGTAGAAAATACACCCATTTATATATTGATTGTACACCCAGTTTGATTAATAATTAGGATGAAATCACATATATCAAAAAAATACTTATAGTTATAACAAATCATATACTGAGCATAGTTCATGTCAATGGAATACAAGAACGCAGTATATTATACTGAATAAAATATCATACGAGAAAAGAAAACTACACTGAGTAATCATCACATTGAATCAGAACGGAAGTAATTTTGAACAAAACTCATAATGAGTAAATCAATCGAAAATGGACTTTCTTTCCATCATATCACTTCTACACCACAAAACATCGCACGCCGAGGCAGTCGGTGATTGGGCATACATAACATGTGTCCCAGACATCTCAACTGATGAAGTTTCAATACTGCACTGATTGGTTTTCTATCCTTACCTAGTATCTGTTTCCTAACAAATGAATTACTTACTCGGTAGTCCTAGGAGATACGAGCAATGCTTCGAAGACAGCTATGATCGAATACTAGTAACCCACGAATATCCTCTACTCTTACCAGCCATGTTTCACTGCCATAAAGTAGGACGGGACGAACTGCTGCGCAGTAAACCCGTCCTATGGTTGATAGACGGATATCTCGCCTACGCCATAAATGACGCAAGTTGGCAAAAGCTAATCGAGCCTTCTGTATCCTTGCTGAGATTTCGTCACACACCTGACCACAAGGGCTGATGAGACTTCCAAGATAAGTGAAGCGGTCGATACACTCAACTACTTCACTCCCTATCACTAGTTCGGGTGTCAATGCAACCCAATCCTGATGCAACATTTTGCATTTGGAGGGAGAGAATCGCATCCCGAACATGCTTGCACTGTTGCTTAGAGTGGTCAGAAGACTCTGCATTTTGTCAGCGTCTTCACCAAATAGAATTATGTCATCGGCATATTCTAAGTCAACAAGTGAACCTCCTGGTAGAAGTTTAACCCCTGGAAATTTAGATGAGGAGAGTGTTATCTCTAAAAGTACGTCGACCACAAAGTTAAACTCAACCAGTTGTGTTCGAGTAGAGAGCCTGTATAAGGTTAATGTACTTCTTTTGTACTCCTTTCAGTGATAAACACTGCCATAGAACCTCACGATCAACAGAGTCGAATGCTGCTTTAAGGTCGAGAAATACTACCATTGTGGGGCGTCTAAACGTGTGTCTGTGTTCTAGAACCTGACGTAGTGTGAATATCTGGTCTGTACAACCACGTCCAGGTCGAAAACCAGCCTGGTTTTCTCTAGTCTGTTCTCCACAAGCTTTGATTAGGCGTCGAATTATTATTGAAGCTAATATTTTAGACATTATATTAGTCAAACTGATTTCTTTGTGATTGTCACAGGAGGACTTTTGTCCTTTCTTATAGACTGGCACAATCAGTGACTGAGACAAGTCAATCAAATTCTGAGGTGTACTTTATTCCTCTTACAGTGTTTGGAACTGTTAAGCTCCTTAGGACATTTTTCTTCGTGAGTAAGTGGGATCAGTGTTGGTTGTGATCATTTTTCATGGAAACCACAGAAGAATAGTTTTACTGTTTTCTGTCTTAACGTCCAGTGTATACTTTCACCTTTATTTTGAATCCCCTTAAGTGTTTTTAGCTCTGTGTTATTTTATATTTATGAATGTGAACTGATCTACCATGATCCCCATCAAAACAATTATATTGTAATGAAAAATTAGGTAGGTAAGTTTGACTAGAATATTTACTTAGTTTTGAAGTATTTGACTTACATCTCTGCTAATCACATGTATATTTTTGGTAAGTTTGCTCAATGCTAGTGAAATGTAATCCTTAAATTAAAGTGCTTCAAGGTACTGTATAATAATTGTTCATGAAATGTTGGATTCGGTAGCAGCGTCGTGCGAGTAATCCTAGCGTTCATCAGCTTGTGATTTGGCATATTACAGATCATGATTTAATGTATTGCCGTCTCGAAACATTTGCGTCGATAACTCGTCCTAGTAATTTTTATGCTACACACTGTTCACTATTGCTAGAACTCGACCAAAAAAGCAGATAGCTAATCAGTTCACGGCATGAAGCTATAGAATAAATATTATTCATGTTTTGGTTATCATCTGTTGTTTCATATTTACTTCTCAGATGAGGTCGTAAAGACTGTACATCTCTGTAGCTTGGGGCGTTATTGATATGACTCATAACAAATGGATTATTGATCCTTCCTTAGTTTTTTTTTCACGAACGGTACACATTTGAAGTGAACAAAGATTATATTGTGTTCCTACTAGAACTGTATCTTTTAACTTACATTACCCTTGTTTTAATGTATGACTTCCTCAATATTTTAATGACGCTATCGTTTTCCTTCACATAACATGCGTCTATTTGTGTTTAAAAAAGTACGATTTTCGTTCTGTAAAAATAGTAGTTATTAATATCATTGGAGAGAAGTCTAAAAACAGGTTTATATATTTACGAATATCTGTAAATTATGACATGAATGTTGTGTTTTAAGCTTTTATTGATGACGGTGGAGTGCAATAAAGTCGTAAATATTCCCCACAGTCTCTGTCTTCATCAAAAGATCCAGTTCTAGTTGGAAAATATCGATTTTCTAAATTAAATCATTCTGGATATATTTTGGCGGAATCTGCGACTGCATTATCCGTTGTGATGGCCGAAAAGTAGTTCTATAGAGTCAATTCAGCCATATATAATCTGACGTTAAGGCCTAAAAACGTGATAGGATCCGGTTATTACAAAAATTATATTATGGTCTTCTAATGAGGTCTCTTATCTAGATTCCGATTCATCTATTGTGTTTTCATGTTCATAGGTTATATTAGTTTGTATTTACCTACCAATGTACAGATTTCATCACTTCACTTTTGTTCTCGTTGATGTGTATTTTATTCTTGTATTAGAGAAGAGGATAAATTAACTATTAATAATCTACTCTCAAGTTTTACATGGTGGTTTAGCCTCAGTTGTCTCATGAATTCAACTATTAAATTATTAATAATGTATTTGTATTTCAATTTTTCAGGGATTATTCATGCATTAAAGCAATTAATTCATAGTGGATGGCTTAACAGCCGATGGAATTTAATCAGTGTTGATTGTGATCACTTCGCATCGGAACCATGGGAAAAAAATTTTGCTTGTTGTTATCGTAATGCTCAGTGTATACTTTCATCTTTATTTCGGATTCCTGAGTTTAGAAAACGTCTTTTTGGATGTGAGTATATATATCCAATGAAAATTTCTGACAGAACGATTAAACAAATATTGTGCTAGGATTAATTTTATAAAATATGTGAACATGCTATATATAGCTTATCTTACTTTGGTTATAAAATAACCCTGAAAAGCTATTCGGTGAAATAACTTTAACTGTATAATTGCAAATTAATTTGGTAATTTGAAGTAAATACTTTTGTAACATGCATGAACAACTAAACATACTGGAATATATGTACAAGATAAGAATTAGTGTTTTGTTAACTGTTCGAGTGCACAAAAATAGGACTAAGGAAATAGCATTATTCCTATTTTGAAGTATTAACACATTGGATTTCAAGTTTTTATTACCTGACAGTATGAACCACCATGATAATGCCAGTTACCAGGAGTTTTGTTGTTTGTTTGTGTTTGACTCTGTATTTCAAATGTATGTATGTTCTTCAATATCCGTCCACTGCTATCTGATATTCTCACAAAGCTGATGACGCTATTTACTTGTAGGTATATTGGGACCTGTAGCTTAGCTGTTTCAACTCGGAACTCATCAAATAAGTCATAGGTTTTAATCTCGCTCCATTTACAAAAAAAATTAGCACTAAGATAGTTAAGTCCATGAATTTGGACTTTATTATTGACCGGTATCTAAAATGTTCCATACCTTCTTTTACTTATTTTATGGGCCTCGAAAGTGTTATGTTGTTAATTTTCTACTCTGTAGCCGTGTCTGCGATGCCATCCATATGGAAACTACAAGCTCTTTTGGAGTCTGCTTGGTCACTTGGTTTTGATCCACTTGGTGCATCCCAGATATCTTCAACGATCAATCCGAATAAAATGTCGTCTGGTGTCAATCCTACAGGTTCTGATGACATGATTTCTACAGATAGTCGTAATCTCGTTGGAATTGTAGACAGTACTGCATGTCTAGGTGCCACTGATATGGTTTCTCTTTTCGGATCGATAGGAATACGTTCGTCAATCATAGAATGTCGTGCCCCTTCCGGCCCTGGTGGAACTCACCCATAGTAAGGCTTCCATTTTCTTGAAATCTCATGATTGGTGATGCCACGTCATTATTGTAATTAAGTAATTATACTTCAAGTTTAATTGCAGTCCATAAAATTATTTTTGTTCACCTACTTAATAACGGTGATAACAGCTATAGGTGATTTATGGAAGTAAAATCTTTGATATTCTGTAACTATAATGAAAAGTGGAAATACGCATACTATAAGCTTTACATATTTCATTTATTGTCATCGAAGGACAGAAAAGATTGCATCATAAATTGATTTGAGACTTATTATCAAATCAGGTTACGCAATAATCAAGGGGTAAGGAAGGGATATAAAGATGAAAATAATTTACAGGTCAGATAATTGTCCAATTGACAGATATGAAGGAAAAACGACAAACATAAAGGTCATAATAATGAAAACTGGATAGTAATCAAAAAAAACTTTTATAATGTGATATCAATAACTGATTACAGTTAACAATAATTTAAAAAACCAGCAGTAATCAAATAACAATGAGGAAAAAAAGCCAAAACATACCACTAAAGGGAATTAGGGTCAAGGAAGGATGAGAAGTTGGACGAATCTATAGACATATTTTCCATATAACTATGAATACGAATGTATAGCTTAAGTAAATTATTTCGTCGAAAAGAAAAAATTTCCCCACTGAATTATCTTTATTTTTATTCAATTACACAATGGGTTATTTTAATTGTTGTCATCGGTTTAAACAAAAGCAGTTTTCGGTCTTGTCTGTGTAGGTTCTCTGAAGGTTTAACAATATGAACCAACTCCTGTCGTTGTTTTTGGAATATAATTAATGTAAACGAGAAATTAACATTTAATTACGAATCGTTAAAAGTCGAAGGAGGAAGGAAAGTTAGCTGTCTTTATTTATCCACTGCTGTTGTATACCGCAAAGTCCGTACATTGATTCATAAGTCTGGTTAAATGATATTTAAACGTAATTTTCGGGAGTTTAATTTAATGTCTTTACAGAATTGGTGTACATCAGATGTAGGTAACTTCTTACTTTGTTAAGTCATTTAAGAAAATTATATTTTTCATTGAATATATTACAGTATTTATCACTATCTCTTGTATTCTGTTAGTGTTTCCACTGTTAACATGAAACATTGACACCGTACGAAAACACAACCTGACTCACTTTTGGTTTTCACTTTTTTCTACTATTACAGCCTCTTAACTCATATTTACTCTTATATTACCTCAGGTAATAGTCATGGAATATCGAATGAGGTAAATCTATATCTAAAATTTACTTTTATTTTTATTCATTCGTAGGTATAATTTTCATATCCAAAAGTTCTTTTTATGTGTACAATATAAAGTACATCGTGTAATGAAATAACGATAGAAAACTGATTTGAACTTTTTACATGGATCATCATTTCTTAGGTTATGCTTTGAAATTTTGTTTCTAGATTCTCTTCATATCGAAGAATTTTAAGAATAATTCAAAAACGAATTTATAATTGTCAATCATGGAAAATACTTCGCTCCTCTTTACTCGGTGATATTATAAATCAAACAGAAATTACTTGACAACTCCCTAAGTGTTAAGCAACTGAAATTTTTGAGACAATTAACCAGCTAGAACAGCATAAAATATCTCAAAATTTTTCAAATGTTTTTCGAAACTTATAAAAATCATGGACAAAAAGATTGAGTAATAGTTGTGTTGAGGGTTATTGTGTGGGTAAAAGCCAAGATTAAACAAAAATCAGTCAGTCAGAAACAACGTAGAACTTCGTACGTACATACATCAGTTCGAGTTGCCACACCACATTAGCACAGAGATGCAGTTGTCGATTCAAATCCCGTAGTGGTAGAGGTGGTAAGAGTATAAGCAGTAATCGGAGAGATTAGGGTTTGAAGATGTTATTCAAGTAGTATAATCCAGTGAAATAAATTTGGAAAGAAAAAAAGGACATGACAAATTCAGAAAATTAGAATTTGGGAGAACACAGAGAGTGGATGCACCTGCGCCATTGCAAACGATTTTGAGCCATGTCATTCAGGGTCTCTAACCATCGGTTGCTATCATCTCGTGGTCCCCAACCAGGTAGTTTACACCTACCAACATGACTCAGTTCACTTGTCAGTGACTTCATGGACTTGTGCAATGTTTTGGTTTGGCCGCCTCTAGCGTTCTTCCAACCTACTCCTATACCACTGAACATAGCACGTCGTGGTAGTCGGTCGTTGGGCATACGTAGCACGTGTCTTAGGCATCTCAACTGATGAAGTTTCCCTACTTCATCAATTGATTTGCCATCCTTACCTAGTATCTGTTTCCTAACAAATGAATTACTTACTCGGTAGTCCTAGGAGATACGAGCAATGCTTCGAAGACAGCTATGATCGAATACTAGTAACCTATGAATATCCTCTACTCTTACCGGCCATGTTTCACTGCCATAAAGCAGGACGAAACGAACTGCTGCGCAGTAAACCCGTCCTATGGTTGATAGACGGATATCTCGCCTACGCCATAAATGACGCAAGTTGGCAAAAGCTAATCGAGCCTTCTGTATCCTTGCTGAGATTTCGTCACACACCTGACCACAAGGGCTGATGAGACTTCCAAGATAAGTGAAGCGGTCGATACACTCAACTACTTCACTCCCTATCACTAGTTCGGGTGTCAATGCAACCCAATCCTGATGCAACATTTTGCATTTGGAGGGAGAGAATCGCATCCCGAACATGCTTGCACTGTTGCTTAGAGTGGTCAGAAGACTCTGCATTTTGTCAGCGTCTTCACCAAATAGAATTATGTCATCGGCATATTCTAAGTCAACAAGTGAACCTCCTGGTAGAAGTTTAACCCCTGGAAATTTAGATGAGGAGAGTGTTATCTCTAAAAGTACGTCGACCACAAAGTTAAACTCAACCAGTTGTGTTCGAGTAGAGAGCCTTTATAAGGTTAATGTACTTCTTTGGTACTCCTTTCAGTGACAAACACTGCCATAGAACCTCACGATCAACAGAGTCGAATGCCGCCTTAAGGTCGAGAAATACTACCATTGTGGGGCGTCTGAATGTGTGTCTGTGTTCTAGAACCTGACGTAGTGTGAATATCTGATCTATACAACCACGTCCAGGTCGAAAACCAGCCTGGTTTTCTCTAGTCTGCTCTTCACGAGCTTTGATTAGGCGTCGAAGTATTATTGAAGCTAATATTTTAGACACTATATTAGTCAAACTGATTCCTCTGTGATTGTCACAAGAGGACTTTTGTCCTTTCTTATAGACTGGCACAATCAGTGATTGAGACCAGTCAGATGGGATTACGTCCAGTTCCCAAATTCTACCTAAGACCTCAGTTAATCTCATTGCTAATACTGGACCACCATCCTTAAAAATCTCAGGAGTAAACCTGTCAGGGCCTGCTGCTCTCCCTCGTTTCAGATTTCCTATGGCTTTTTCAACTTCGTAAAGGGACGGAGGACCTACATTAACTTGCCATTCAGGTTGACTAGAGATCGTGGGAAACCGAAGTGTGGCTGAAGGCCAGTTGAACTGATCCCTAAAGTGTTCTGCCCATCGATCCAATCTCCTGGATTGAGAATGAATAATATGTCCATCTTTCTCTGAGATTGTTTCGCTAACGGTCGGGTTCCTAATTCCGGTTTCCTTAACGAGTCTGAACAATTGTCTGCTATTACCTATTGCCGCTGCCTTTTCCATCTCTCTTGCTTTCGCTACCCACCACTGTTCGCGATCATTGCGTAGACTTCTTGTCAGCTTGCGCTTAAGCTGACTCCGCTCTTCATTATGTTCAGAGCCAGGTGGAATGAGTTTCCGAGCATCTATCAGTGCGATAGATGCTGCTGAGATCCAGTGTTGCTCCCTAACCTTCTGGTTTACCTTACTAGCAGATATCACTGCTGTTTCCACAGCTTTTCGGATATCATTCCATGCTGCATCGGGGTGGGCATCACATACATGGCTGCCTAACTGTTTTCCTAGTTGTTCCTGAAATATACTCTTAGCTTGACTATCATTAAGTAGGCCCTAAGAGGTTTCCTTGCAGCGTCTTTCCTACGTCCAGTAAGACGCAAGCAAATACGCGCTCGCACTAGAGCATGATCTGAATCTAGGCATGTGCTCCAGAATGAGCGACAGTCTTCTATCGAGCCCCTCCATCGGTGGCTGATAGCGATGTGATCTATTTGGGTCCAACGTTGGGACGAATTAGGGGGTCGCCATGTTAAAAGATGTTTTTCCTTATGCTTAAAGTTAGTATTTGCAAGGAACAGGCGGTTATCTGAGCATAGCTGCAACAGACGGTCGCCATTATCTGTTCTTTGAGCCACGACACCATAAGATCCACCTAGGTGTCTTTCCCTATCGCTTAGTTTACCTACTTGAGCATTAAAGTCACCGGCCACTATTACTACATCCGAGCGCTAGCTTTTCGGAGAAGGTCCGAAAGCTTTCTGTAAAACTCATCTTTTACATCATCTGAGCTGCAGTCAGTGGGAGAATAGGCAGAGACGACGAAGAGGCAACGACGAGTGTCCCTATCTTTCCGGATTCTTACTGTTCCGTTCAGTCGGACAGCGCACAAACGACTGTCTACTGGGATCCACTCTAAGAGAGCTAGTTCTGCCCTAGGACTCAATGCTATACCTACGCCGGCGAGGCCACGGGAAGCAGAATCAGGGCTTCCAGATACACGAAGCGTAAATCGAGTCGGTTCTTTATTTTGGCATGGTGAGGTCAAATGAATGACGCTACTTGGATCCTGTATGCGCGTTTCGGAGACGCAGCACACATCGATGGCGCGAGATTCTAAAGTTTTAGCTAAGGAAGCCTGCTGTCCTATTTGGCAAAGTGTTCGTACGTTAAAAGCTCCTACGTGTAGTTTAGAGCGTGGTTTCAGGAGACCAGGAATGGCGTTCCACGTACTCGAATCGTTTGCCCTAGCGGTGCGAGGTGATAAAGAGACGTGAGGAGGGTTAGTCATGGAGATAAGAGAGGTATTAGGAGGTGTAGGAAGGATTTGAATGTGACCACCTTGGTCTCTTGTGCTGTTACGGGTATGAGGGCTGATGTCACTTCCCGGCTGCCCACACCGTGGAAGGGTATTTCTTGAGGAACCTGAAAAGGAAATTGGATTAGTGTTGGTCTTGACGACCTGGGAGCGTGACCGCAGAGCCCAAGGGACAACTGCTTGAGGCCGGTCGCGCACGGCCTTTTTGTGGAAGGTTTTTGACGTGTTAGCTCCGTTCTTCCAAGGGCCTTACCGCCGGAGACGGAAATCCGTGAGGTAAGGTGAGGTGTGACATTTTTAGGGTCGACCTTTTCTAACCCCACCCCTCCTTGTGGGAAGGCAGCATCGCTGTCATGCTGGTTGTCGAGGGAAACACCTTACTGCTGTCACACCTCTCTACAGTCAGCAGTACGACTTCGCCCTCAGACCTTGAGTTGCTGCTTTTAGTCTTACCGTTCTCCAATCGACCTGCCTGGCATGGTAGAACCTACAGGAACATATGTTCCAGCCAATATAGCTCGGTTGGGTCATCACGATAGGCAAGCCCGACCACCGCGTCAAGGTAGCAGCTTCGGTAAAATAAATTGTCCTTCAGCGTTTAGAATAAGGTTGAAGATAAACACAACAGCAGATAGTTGTAACTTCGTCATCCAACTTATGTCAAGTAGTAGCACTATCTGCAAGATCACTGTATTACTAGATGTTATTAGCTGAAAATCTTCTTTATCTTTATAAGATTTTATGATACGAAAATTCCTCTTAATAAGAATCAAGTAACTTTGGTTTGTTGCTTATCTGTAGCATTTTACCTTCAAGTATCTCCATCGGTCTTTCCTTTCCTGTATTTTGTTTTAGTTTTCCTTTTCAGCTTTTAGCAATTGAATATCTGCCTACAAAAACATTGTCTTTATCTCGTGTTGAAATTTTTTACGTAATCGCTCAAAATACATCAGCAGATAAAACTAGAATATAACTGAGCACATTGTGTTTCATCTCATTATTTTAAGTTTAAGACAATCCCTCGTATAGTATATTGAGAACTGTTTTACATTAGATCTTCCATAGCCTTCATTTATGGGTTGCTCGGTTAAATGGTTTAAAAAACTAGGATGAACAACAAAAATATCGTTGTTGATGTCTGCTTTTTATTTACTTACTTGGTTGCTGTTCTGGTGGCTTAAATACTACTTATCATCGTCAGCCGATAGCATGCGTCGATTTTATGATTCATTCGGATCCAGGATATCCTTCCTATAGTACCTTCATCGATGTTTTCTGAAATTAACCTTTAAACAGTTACTTAGATCTTATAAAAACATGGGGAACCATTGCTTTGGATCATTATCAAAATAATTACAACCGTCTGAAATCAAAAATAAATTTCTAGTCACTTATATAAGTAGTCACATAACAGCTTGATTGATTAGAATTTGATCAGGACTAGTGACTAGACAACAACATTAGTACTTCACTTATCTTTAGAGTTTTATCAGCTCCGGTGCATTGGTGTCTGATGAAGTTTCAGTACAGATTCAGAAAGCTCGGTCGATTTTTGTCAAATTATATCACTTTTGGCGCCATTCTCTCAGCTAAAAGACTAGTTTGCTGTTCCAAAGTTCCTTTTGTTTTTCTTTATCTCTGGGATATGTGACCGTTAAAATAGGGATATTCACAATGTACTACTATTTGATTTTAAATGTCTTTAATGTATTACTCTCTTATGCTGAGATCATCGGATTAGTAATAGTACGATTAAGTGGAGTATACTAGATGAAGTCGTAATATCCGTTGAAGTCATAAATTTTCATCGACTGAGATAGTTTAGACATATCTACAAAGTGATTGACTATTGGACTTAGCCATGTTTGTAAGTTCAGACTAACTAGTTGTGGTCCGTACATTTATTGTAACCAGTGGCCTGAGGCATCGGGTGATATAACTGCGAATCCATCAAAATGGCGCAGGTGCAATCACTCTTCTTCTTCCTCTAAATGCTGAATCTCAAAATCATACATTTTTAGTCGCACGAATTCATTACTGTCGTACCACATAGTCTATTCTTAATCTTTCCTGATGCCGTTACTAATTATACTACTTTGAAAGCTGGTTTGATAATTTCATCTCTGAACTAATGTAGTATGGCGACTTGAACTGATGCATATATGTACTGGGTCCTACAATTCGTATGGCTGATTTATATGACCTTATTTCACCTCCGATGTTGACCTCTGTACTTTTCTAAAGTTTGTGTAATCTGCCTAGATATTGAATTCTATTTTTGATGATTTCTATGATTCCTGCCTCTGAGTATTTCAAGTGAAGTGGGGGTATATATGTGGTAAAGCCATATGACCATCAGACAAGTCAAGAGTGGGGAAGCAGCAGAACCCTACAGTATACCACCTGAAGCACTAAAGTCAGACATATGAGTAACTGCAAACATGCTCCACGTTCTATTCAGCTAGATTTGGGAGAAATAACAAGTGCCACTGACAGACTGGAAAAAAGGATACTTCATCACGAAAGATCCGTGAAAATGTGAGAACTAAAGAGACGTCATACTACTATGGGTACTATGAAAGGTTTCCAACAGACTGCTGCTGAACCAGATAACAGATTCAGTAGACGCGCAACTTAGAAATCAACAGGACGGATTTCCTAAGTACTGGTTGTGCAAAACCGAATCGCAACACTACGGATCGTCATTGAACCATCGATTAAATAGAACTCGTCACCACACATCAACTTCATTGACTGTGAGAAGGAACTTGACAGTGTGGAGAGGATAACCTTACGGAATATTCTTCGACATTATGTTGTATCTGAGTGGATCGTCAAAATCATCCGGAATTTGTACGACAGACTACACTGCAAAGTCATCCAAGGAGGACAACTAACAGACTCATTCCAGGTGGCCGACTGACTTGATTATCAGGACTCGACATCTGAAGGAAAGCACAATACAACGAACAGCTTGGATGCAACTAGACGATGTGGACTTTGCAGACGATCTAGCCCTTCTATCCTATACACAACAATACATGCAGGTCAAGACAACCATTATCAGTAGGCCTCAACACACACAAGGGAAAAACCAAGATTCTTAAATACAACACGCGAAATACTAACTCAATTTCACTTGATGCAGAAACTCTGGAAGAAGTGGAAACCTTCACGTAGCTGGACAGCATAATCGATGAACAAGAAGGATCTGATGAAAATATAAAGGCAAGGATTGGCAAAGCACGAACAGCATTCCTACACTTGAATAGCATATGGAACTTAAAACAACTGTCAACCAGTATCAAAGTTAGAATCTTCAATACAAATTTTAAGACAGCTCTACTGTACGGAGCCGAAACTTAGAGAACTACCACAACCCTCATCAAAATGGTACAAGTATTTCTAAACAATTGTCTGCGCAAGATACTCAATGTCCCTTGGCCGGACACCATCAGCAACATACTTCTATGGGAGAGAACAAATCAGCTTCCATCTGAAGAGGAAATCAGTAAAAGACGCTAGGAGTGGATAGGACATACATTTCGGAAATCGCCGAACTGCATCACAAGGCAAGCGCTAACTTGGAATCCTGAAGGTAAATGGGGAAGAGGAAGACCGAAGAATTGGAAGCAGATATGAAAAGGATGAATATCAACTGGAAATAACTGGAAAGGATTGCCCAGGACAGGTTTGGATAAATAGTGCTGGTTGGCGGCCTATGCTCCTCTGTGAAGGGTAACAGGCTTAAGTAAAGCCATATCACGGAACTACTGTAAAAACGGTTGTATATCCCGCAATATTTTAGATGTTTGATTTAGATTTAAAAAACTATGAAATACTGTAAATTATATCATAGTTGACCAAGCACTGCATTAGTCATTCTTTCTAATTATGGTTACAAAGTGGAGAAAATTATTGTGGAAAATCGTCGAATCTCAGTCTGATAAGTTCTGAAACACTGTTATTATTATTATTATTATGGACGGCCACCTTTGATCTGGATATGTTACCCTACTTGCGGCGTACGGTTTGTGAAATGAGCACTTAACAACTTCATCAAGCTGCTAACCACTACTCACTGAAACTCCATAAGTCGTACAAACTGTCTCAACAGTTGGAGAACTTGACTTCTAAACGGTTCCAGTTTTGGATAAGTTTGACGTGAACGACTTAGGAGCATTAAGTTCTTCCAGCTGCGACTGAACCATTTAGTGAAAACGTTGTCGTGGTGTACTCTTCACAAAAAATGAACCATAAATTCAATTGTTCGATACGAGCTTATATGTGTATTTAAGATCTAGACTTTTTTCGAGGAAGATACTAGAGTAAATTGCCTGCTACCGTTTTCCAGAATACCGGTTAACGTTTCCGAAGCATTAGAACATAAGTATTACGGTCTATTTTTATTGATTTTATTCGTAGTATTCTTTAAGTTCTTCGTATAGTTGTTAAAAAAATTTTAAACGTTTGTACTCATTTCTTCTCCTTGAATTTCTGTTGAATGCTTTACTGTTTATTTTGTAAATTTCATCGAAATATGTTTCAGTTTTGTAAACTTTTTCCTGTGTTTAAACTTGACTCATTCTATTTGCAATACGTGACTGAATCTGGCTCATGTGAATCAGTATGCTAGAATATTAACTTTTAACGTCCGGTAAAACCTAATATTTAAAATAATCCATTAAATTATATCATCAATCCGCTTTCACTTCAGTTATAAATATTTAAATGCATAATGTAAATTATGTATGCACTCCTTATTTACCTATGGATGTACATATCTGCTAAGCGCTGTATATTTGAAACTATCTCGAGTTCTGTTGTAATAATTGTTCACTCGGTATTCAGCAAAGCTCTGTAATAGTGTCTCCTAAGTTTTTGAAACTGGAAAGTGCATCAGTACGCATAAAGTGACAGAGCAGTTGAAACTTTACTTTTTTGGCCATAATGCTTATTTATTGACGCATTTGTACCTACTGCTCTTGTTTTCATAACCCATCATTGTTTAGTTACTCTAACTTTATCTGTCATTCGTCACCTTGATTCGTAGAGTGATGGTTTCACGGCTAAAGCACCTAGCTTCCAGCTTGTACTTATTTTGGCTTGGGTAAGCTTAAGGTAATTAATAAAACAGTAAGGTGTTGGTTTTTAGGTATATCCCTGGTGTAACTGCATGTACTCTTGATTAAATAGTATCTAGTTAGTGTTTTTAATGTTTAATATATCGTTTTTTTCGTAACTTTTTATTACTCGAAGTCTGTCACACTCCCAATGCTATTACAACATGAAGGTCACAGTCGTATAGTTATTGGTGTCGAAGTAAGTATTTATTTCTTAATGTTTCATGGGATCTTTTTTTAATGTTGTACGCGATTATAACTTTGTTTAATGATTTATGTAGCATCGTTGATATATATATATATATATATATATATATATATATATATATACATATATATATATATATAATCGTTCTTGGTGATAAAAATATCGACGTAAAGCAATTTACTCTCAACTTTCAAGTATCTGACCTTGAATTTTCTTTTACTTCTTCCAATTAGTTTTTTTAATTCTCACAATAGTTAGTGCGTAAATGGATAACCCCATGTTTCACCAATAAAAACTTTTACGAAGTGTTATTAGAATATTCTGGGAGTTTTCATCCACAAGCCAAATGATCAGATTTTTAAGTCAGACCACAAGTTATCTCATCTATCTCATTAATTTTTGTTAAAATATTAATTTCCGCCCCTTTTCGTTTTATTTTTTTGGGGGGGGGGAGGTGGGATCAGTAAACCTTTAAGTATTGATCACTTCAGTGTTCTTCTTTTTAGGTTGATGAAGATGACAAACCGTTAGCTCTCATTGTTCTAGATCCTGATGTATCGGCTGAAGCTATGCGTCAAGTTATCAAAGCAGCTGATTATTCTGTATCTAGTCCGAGTATAGATTTATCTCATCTTTCTTTCGGATCATATAATTGGATGGATGTTTTAGGAAGTATGCGTGTGGATATGACTCAGTTAGTTCAACCTCAGTATCAACTGCTTCAAATTAATGGATTAATAGAAACGGATTTAGATCTCCAGGTATAAAAGCATTTCTTTCTTACTAAGTGTTTTACTTGTATAATATTATACACTGCTTACGATTGCCTACTTAAATTGTCCAACTGACCAGAAACCTTATTCCTTGATTTTTGGTCACATTAATGTTTTTACGATATATGAAGTCCTGTAAAACTAACGACAAAAATATGGACTTACTCGGGTCCCCCAAAAACAACAGATAACGTTTGATTTACTGTCGTTTTCGTTTAAAGCTTACATTCTTAATACGTTTTGCGGTCAGTTGTAGTTTTTGTATATATATAGGACTGGATTATAAAACATAATTTTTCTTTTTTAGGACGCCATGGTTCCGGAAAATGTTACAGTTGCGATCTCATAAAAAAATCGTTTGGAAATGTAACGTTATTTTTTATCTAAACCCCATTCTTAACATTTTTTTCTTGGATGTTAGTAATTTCCATTCATCTAATTTAATGTTTCTCACATTCTTTCTGCATTGTATTACTTTCATTCTTATATAGACGTTTTATGTTTCTTAGGTTTATTTTTATACATGCTTTTAACTAATCTCACGACAGTTCATCACTATAGGTATGATTGTTTTTATTCCCAATGACCCCATTGCTTTCACTTGTATTTCACGTATTCGTTTTTCTGCCCGTTTCTTTATCTTTCTACGGTGTAACACTACTACTTAATGATCAGCTATGATAAATCTGCGTACTATCTTTATCTTCGCGCTTTCATGTTTCATCCTTCTTTAGGATGAAATAGCTTTGAAACTAATAAATACATTGTGTTGTATATGTACTCTTTATTTCTTTGGCAGTTGTCTATTTGTTGCAGACTAATATAAGTATGATAGGAACAGTATTTATATGTGGTTTATTGTGGTTCTTGTGGATTACTACTGTTTATCGATTGCCTCTACACGCCGCCATTTTATTGAAATGACATTAGTTTGGTCTGCAACAGTCCATTATTTGGAACAAACTCGGTCCATCAAACTTACGAGAGATTACTGAAAAGAATACTGTGACTGGCATTTTTTGAAAACCGAACTTCATTCTCGTCACCATTGGGCTTGCTATGAACCTGTCTAATCTGTTAAAATCGTAAGTGGGCTCATGATAAATACGTGATGGGCACTAATACAATTTAGTTTAATGCTAACAAGATCGAATTATACCAAGTGGACCTTAGGTAAACTGACTTCAAAAACAGTCCTACTGGCTAGCAAATTCAGAGTTCTACTAGTAGAAATTATATGTTTGGAGCATCTGCACAAACTGGAAAAACGATGAATGTTATTTCAAACATATGAGTGTGAGCTGTAGCTTTTCATTCATTTTCGAGTGAGAATTTAAAAAAACGCAGGTTATACGAGTCAATAACATCACACTAATCTTATAACAGATATGCTCATTAATCCCAACTACTTAGAACTCATAACTTCCTCTATTGAAGGGGAATAAAGGCAATGCAGTGAATAGAATGTTCTTATCGACGATTTCATCCACCTGAGCCGTATAGTCGTATCTGTAGTTAGTTTATTCGCTAGCAATAGTAGTCTATATTAAAATACAGTGGTATTGAATAATTTTCAAACAATTGAGGTGTCAGTGTGTCATAAACTGTTTAAAAAAGTCAGCTATGTTCTTATCGACGATTTCATCCACTTGAGCCGTATAGTCGTATCTGTAGTTAGTTTATTCGCTAGCAATAGTAGTCTATATTAAAATACAGTGGTATTGAATAATTTTCAAACAATTGAGGTGTCAGTGTGTCATAAACTGTTTAAAAAAGTCAGCTATTGGATGAAAGTTGTATAATAATCCAACGGTTAATAAGAAGTGAGTGTGAGCTGTAGCTTTTCATTCATTTTCGAGTGAGAATTTAAAAAAACGCAGGTTATACGAGTCAATAACATCACACTAATCTTATAACAGATATGCTCATTAATCCCAACTACTTAGAACTCATAACTTCCTCTATTGAAGGGGAATAAAGGCAATGCAGTGAATAGAATGTTCTTATCGACGATTTCATCCACTTGAGCCGTATAGTCGTATCTGTAGTTAGTTTATTCGCTAGCAATAGTAGTCTATATTAAAATACAGTGGTATTGAATAATTTTCAAACAATTGAGGTGTCAGTGTGTCATAAACTGTTTAAAAAAGTCAGCTATGTTCTTATCGACGATTTCATCCACTTGAGCCGTATAGTCGTATCTGTAGTTAGTTTATTCGCTAGCAATAGTAGTCTATATTAAAATACAGTGGTATTGAATAATTTTCAAACAATTGAGGTGTCAGTGTGTCATAAACTGTTTAAAAAAGTCAGCTATTGGATGAAAGTTGTATAATAATCCAACGGTTAATAAGAAGTGAGTGTGAGCTGTAGCTTTTCATTCATTTTCGAGTGAGAATTTAAAAAAACGCAGGTTATACGAGTCAATAACATCACACTAATCTTATAACAGATATGCTCATTAATCCCAACTACTTAGAACTCATAACTTCCTCTATTGAAGGGGAATAAAGGCAATGCAGTGAATAGAATGTTCTTATCGACGATTTCATCCACTTGAGCCGTATAGTCGTATCTGTAGTTAGTTTATTCGCTAGCAATAGTAGTCTATATTAAAATACAGTGGTATTGAATAATTTTCAAACAATTGAGGTGTCAGTGTGTCATAAACTGTTTAAAAAAGTCAGCTATGTTCTTATCGACGATTTCATCCACTTGAGCCGTATAGTCGTATCTGTAGTTAGTTTATTCGCTAGCAATAGTAGTCTATATTAAAATACAGTGGTATTGAATAATTTTCAAACAATTGAGGTGTCAGTGTGTCATAAACTGTTTAAAAAAGTCAGCTATTGGATGAAAGTTGTATAATAATCCAACGGTTAATAAGAAGTGAGTGTGAGCTGTAGCTTTTCATTCATTTTCGAGTGAGAATTTAAAAAAACGCAGGTTATACGAGTCAATAACATCACACTAATCTTATAACAGATATGCTCATTAATCCCAACTACTTAGAACTCATAACTTCCTCTATTGAAGGGGAATAAAGGCAATGCAGTGAATAGAATGTTCTTATCGACGATTTCATCCACTTGAGCCGTATAGTCGTATCTGTAGTTAGTTTATTCGCTAGCAATAGTAGTCCATATTAAAATACAGTGGTATTGAATAATTTTCAAACAATTGAGGTGTCAGTGTGTCATAAACTGTTTAAAAAAGTCAGCTATGTTCTTATCGACGATTTCATCCACTTGAGCCGTATAGTCGTATCTGTAGTTAGTTTATTCGCTAGCAATAGTAGTCTATATTAAAATACAGTGGTATTGAATAATTTTCAAACAATTGAGGTGTCAGTGTGTCATAAACTGTTTAAAAAGTCAGCTATTGGATGAAAGTTGTATAATAATCCAACGGTTAATAAGAAGTGAGTGTGAGCTGTAGCTTTTCATTCATTTTCGAGTGAGAATTTAAAAAAACGCAGGTTATACGAGTCAATAACATCACACTAATCTTATAACAGATATGCTCATTAATCCCAACTACTTAGAACTCATAACTTCCTCTATTGAAGGGGAATAAAGGCAATGCAGTGAATAGAATGTTCTTATCGACGATTTCATCCACTTGAGCCGTATAGTCGTATCTGTAGTTAGTTTATTCGCTAGCAATAGTAGTCTATATTAAAATACAGTGGTATTGAATAATTTTCAAACAATTGAGGTGTCAGTGTGTCATAAACTGTTTAAAAAAGTCAGCTATGTTCTTATCGACGATTTCATCCACTTGAGCCGTATAGTCGTATCTGTAGTTAGTTTATTCGCTAGCAATAGTAGTCTATATTAAAATACAGTGGTATTGAATAATTTTCAAACAATTGAGGTGTCAGTGTGTCATAAACTGTTTAAAAAAGTCAGCTATTGGATGAAAGTTGTATAATAATCCAACGGTTAATAAGAAGTGAGTGTGAGCTGTAGCTTTTCATTCATTTTCGAGTGAGAATTTAAAAAAACGCAGGTTATACGAGTCAATAACATCACACTAATCTTATAACAGATATGCTCATTAATCCCAACTACTTAGAACTCATAACTTCCTCTATTGAAGGGGAATAAAGGCAATGCAGTGAATAGAATGTTCTTATCGACGATTTCATCCACTTGAGCCGTATAGTCGTATCTGTAGTTAGTTTATTCGCTAGCAATAGTAGTCCATATTAAAATACAGTGGTATTGAATAATTTTCAAACAATTGAGGTGTCAGTGTGTCATAAACTGTTTAAAAAAGTCAGCTATGTTCTTATCGACGATTTCATCCACTTGAGCCGTATAGTCGTATCTGTAGTTAGTTTATTCGCTAGCAATAGTAGTCTATATTAAAATACAGTGGTATTGAATAATTTTCAAACAATTGAGGTGTCAGTGTGTCATAAACTGTTTAAAAAAGTCAGCTATTGGATGAAAGTTGTATAATAATCCAACGGTTAATAAGAAGTGAGTGTGAGCTGTAGCTTTTCATTCATTTTCGAGTGAGAATTTAAAAAAACGCAGGTTATACGAGTCAATAACATCACACTAATCTTATAACAGATATGCTCATTAATCCCAACTACTTAGAACTCATAACTTCCTCTATTGAAGGGGAATAAAGGCAATGCAGTGAATAGAATGTTCTTATCGACGATTTCATCCACTTGAGCCGTATAGTCGTATCTGTAGTTAGTTTATTCGCTAGCAATAGTAGTCTATATTAAAATACAGTGGTATTGAATAATTTTCAAACAATTGAGGTGTCAGTGTGTCATAAACTGTTTAAAAAAGTCAGCTATGTTCTTATCGACGATTTCATCCACTTGAGCCGTATAGTCGTATCTGTAGTTAGTTTATTCGCTAGCAATAGTAGTCTATATTAAAATACAGTGGTATTGAATAATTTTCAAACAATTGAGGTGTCAGTGTGTCATAAACTGTTTAAAAAAGTCAGCTATTGGATGAAAGTTGTATAATAATCCAACGGTTAATAAGAAGTGAGTGTGAGCTGTAGCTTTTCATTCATTTTCGAGTGAGAATTTAAAAAAACGCAGGTTATACGAGTCAATAACATCACACTAATCTTATAACAGATATGCTCATTAATCCCAACTACTTAGAACTCATAACTTCCTCTATTGAAGGGGAATAAAGGCAATGCAGTGAATAGAATGTTCTTATCGACGATTTCATCCACCTGAGCCGTATAGTCGTATCTGTAGTTAGTTTATTCGCTAGCAATAGTAGTCTATATTAAAATACAGTGGTATTGAATAATTTTCAAACAATTGAGGTGTCAGTGTGTCATAAACTGTTTAAAAAAGTCAGCTATGTTCTTATCGACGATTTCATCCACTTGAGCCGTATAGTCGTATCTGTAGTTAGTTTATTCGCTAGCAATAGTAGTCTATATTAAAATACAGTGGTATTGAATAATTTTCAAACAATTGAGGTGTCAGTGTGTCATAAACTGTTTAAAAAAGTCAGCTATTGGATGAAAGTTGTATAATAATCCAACGGTTAATAAGAAGTGATAACGTGAAGATAATTATCCGATGCGCACTGCTGAGGGGTCCCACACTGGGGCGAAGCTGCCGTCCAGTGCTCCCAGGTTTTCGATGTATGGGCGAGAATGATACTGATTGGTTGTCTGCTTAGTCAGATATGTAGGTAGTCTGAAAGGTGTCAGATGAATTATGTATTCCCCTATCCTTATTATTATTGAATCACTTATTGTTGAATTGTGTCAGGCTTTTGGTGTGGAAATACTTTACGTTGTGGTTAAGCTAATCACGTGTTCTCGATCTGAGTTGTGTT